ACAGATAGATGGGTTATTTGATTTATTTACCTTTTAAATTCACCCAATTAGATTGTTCATACTGTAGCTGTATTTCAAATAGGATTTTTGAGGTTTTTTCTGGGTGTTTTTTTTTTAAATTTAAGAACAACCAGCAGGGATACTACATCACAATAGGAATTATATGTATGACATTATTGTGTCAGGGAGATTCTTTCGATCTATTGCAATTTTATGTTAAAGAAATTGACCTTTGGATACCATTCTTTCCTTGTATTACTAACATTTTCTCAAATTTTACCTCTGAATCAAGAAATACTTCTGAATAAAGAGATCGAAATCCAGACCGTGGTCTAATGGAACCTGAAGTACCAAATGTTTCACCTGTTACTTACTGCAGCAGACATCATCAGTGGTATATGCATTGACTTCGAGGACAAAAATTAACACTCAAAGTCTCGGCAAAGAGTTTGTCAAGCTCCATTCGACCATGACCTACTTGCCTGGATTTTAATCTCTTTCCATAGAAGCCTATGTTCTTAAATACTTATGAATTTTTACAATAATCCGTCAGGTTTAAATACTTTTTATTTTGGATGGAGAGTCGTAAGTTCCATTTGTTTTCAACATATATGATAAGTTGTGACGTAGGTCTAGGTAAACTAATTGACTGTTCAATTCAATTAGAATTCAATTTCTCTATAGTAAATTTATGAAATATGATATTTATTAACTAGATCAGTCATATTTGAAAAATGAAAAATTACATTGGATACTCGATTGGAAATATCAACATATCCAAAAAAAAATGTTGCTTTGAAGTATGAAATATATAAATTCCTTAGTAGTTCAACTTGAATTATTTTGTGAACTTCTTGAAAATGTAGTTTTTTCATTGATTCTATTTTCGATTTTTGAAGAAAGAATGTTACGAAATTTCTGGATTTTGTCTTTGTAGTAGATGGGTACAGTTATATTTTCATCAAATGTCTGTCTGATATTGTGTTGATGAAGATGTACGTTTTTATCTTATGATTTTCAGATATTGTGAGAAATAATACCTAGAGTTAAATTGCATCTATGGAAACCAGGTGCATACGCCTGAGTGTTTTGAGTTACTCTGGCTGGAACATGTAGACCAATCAAAAACAAGAGATGTGGACAATCAATATGATAGTTTAAAATCTTATGTAGAAATCTGATGTCTGCATGAACTCTACGATTACTCAGTTTCAGTGTTTCTGTTATAGTGCGAATTTCCCTCAGTGTGTTTTCAGTTAGAAGTATATTCAATTCATAAGCTAGATATCTTAGAAATTTGTTGTGAGATATTTTTATTTTGTTTATATGTGTTTCATATGTTGACGACCGCACACATGAGCAATACTCCAACATTGATCAAACTAAAGAGTAATAAATAATTCTGATGAAGTTAACATCAGTGAATTCTCTTGTAGTCCTGCACACAAAGCCCAGCATTTTTGTCGCCCTATTTACAAAATGCTCATAGGGGAAATGGAAATCAACCTTGGTATCAAAAAAAAAACATCGAGGTCCTGAACAATCTTTGCCCCTGTGAGAAGTTTGCCATCAATATTATAACCAAATTCAATATGTTCAAGTGATCGATAAAAAGACATATCATTACATTTATTTACACTCAGCTCCATGTAGTTTTTGGAGCACCATTTGACAATTGAGGTGGGATCCCTTTGAACATTCTCACATTGTTGTTTATTGATGACTACGATGAAGATTTTGAGATTATCTGCAAACAGCAAAAATTTTGAATGTTTGATTATTCCTTCAATATCATTGACGAGGATATTAAATAAGAGGGGGCCTAGGTGGCTTCCTTGTGGCAAAGGAAACTTTACTTTTACATATTGATTACCATCTCGAAGCTTGTTCAAAAAATCTCCGTGAAACCCTATCGTTTCAAGTTTCCCGAGCAATACTGTATGATTAACTGTGTCTAATGCTTTGGAAAAATCTGTGTGTATTACACAGTAGTACAAATAGTAATTTTTCAGGTTGAAAGTTCAAAATGTGAAATATATTAGGTGTTTTTGGAAGTTTCTTCTCAGCTCAAGTGTTAACCACAAAGTTTGCAACAAAATCATTCTCTTTTCAGGTGAAAAACCGTATGTATGTGACTTTCCAAGTTGTAACAGAAAATTCGCTCAGTCAGGCCAACTGAAAACCCATCAAAGATTACATACTGGCGAAAAACCATTCGTATGCGCAGCACCAAATTGTCTGAGAAGTTTTACTCACGCCAACCGTCATTGTCCTGACCATCCAGATTTTTCTTTGAGAAGGTTTTCTTCAAAGCCAGAAGCCAACCTCAGTAAAACCTATGATGAAGGACACAATGCTGAGGTACGGGAGTGGCTGAAAAACTGGGATAGGTAAGTAAATATGAGAGATAAAGGTAGAAATAATATGGAAACCCTAGTATTGGACATGTGACTTTAAAAAAAAAATCTCCAATATTTTCATAGTGTACTTCTTATTTGGCTTTTTTCACTGCTGGTAGTTTCTTTCATAGATAATTGTTGTGGTTTCTGTTACCAATTCTCTACCATATTGTTTTTTTTTTATGAAAAAGTAGTCATAGCTACTTGATGCACTCTCTCTGCTAATAAACCAATTTTTACACCTATAACTTTACTGTAGACCCCTTTCGCTATACAGTAACTTCCTCACTTGAACTGGTACAACAACTAACATCTACAAAACACATATAGAAAATCATAAGAGAAAATAAAAAAAAACTAAATAGAACATTAACATATATGTTAAATATCTGTTGATCATTCGTTATGTCTGTATTGTCTTGTATTTTCCAGGCGTAATAAGTCATCTTCAGAATCAAGCGAAAATCTTTATAAGACTCCAAAAAAATCAATCTTCAAAGCAGATGATTCGTTGTTCAGTAGCGGCACCTCAGAGTATTTCTCAAATTGTTCAAAAACCAGCTTGACTGATGATATCGAGAACTCACCAAATTCCGATAGAGAATACCCGGAAACTTCCAGCTACTTCTTGGGAAACTCAGAATTTGATATGCATTCTGAAACATCACCAAAAAACACTTCCTCGGCTTCTGAACTACCAAAAAAGCGGTGGCTCCGCGAAGCAGTACAAGACCAAAGTCTTTGGGATTCAACCAATGATCTCGCATGTCCCATCAATTGGGGCGAAGAGGCCCTAACAGACCTAACCGAAGAGAAAAAGGACACGTGTCTACCAAAGGTGGCAGCTGAAAATCAGACACGTCCCTCAGTATTGGTATGTGTTCATGGGGGTAAGAGTAAGGAAATTTCTAATGATGAAATACAGGGTGCTATGGCTCTTGTAGAGCTCAAAAATGGTATTAACTATAGGGTATAAGGGGTTAGTAGGGAGGGGGAATGTTTTGTGTGAGATACCAGTTGAAATGTATGGTTCAAGTGATATTTTTTAAGATGATATGTACTTACCAACGAAGATTTGAGAGCATGGGATTGATTAACAATTATTGTGCCTTCCGTTTTGGGTATTGTAAGTTGGTACAACTCTGTCATGAATCTTAATTTTCCTTCTGGGTACTTTTTTTTTCCTAATTTTTCAAGAGATATTATCTTAGTTCTAATCAATAATTTTTTTCTTTACTAAAGAGATTAGCGGCATTCTTCAACAGTTTCTATCGAAGAGAGAGAATAAAAGAATATCGTTTAATTTCTACTGTGAAAACCATTAAAAGGGGAATGTAATTTCCATTAACACTTCATTTTGGAAACTACTTTTTGTTCCAGACTTCAATCTAAGAAGCAACATTGATTTTTATTTTTTTATAGGAATTTTCTTTCCTTCAAAACATGACTGGATGGATTTTTGTAAAATATTTTATAAATATCGTTTCAAACGATAGTTTTGTTATTGTAAACAAATTAAAATTTTCGTTACCAGTTATTCTTGATTTAGTTGATATAACTTAGAGTATAATTAAACATAAAAACTTTTCCTTATTATTCAACAGATATATTTTACTTTGATGGACTTTATTGTGTTCTCTTCATTTGTTATTTAAGAAAGAATTTTAGCCTCTTTTCTCACCACTCTACCCTCAAGACTGAAAACCAACCATTTTTCATTTTTTTTATTTCTCCTGAGAGAGCATCACAAAAAAAAAGTTGGGTTTTGGGGGACCATCAGTGGTTTAATTGTCTTATTGGTGAGAACAAATGATCCATGGAGGTTCCTGGGTTATTTGACCTCACCAATGAGGCAGTTGAGCCCTGACTGTTTTTTATAAACCCATATTATATAGTTTCAAAAAATTTAAAAAAACACTCTCAAGGTAGTTCAAAAAATGTTAGATAACAAAAATTGTATATGTAATGGAATCCATCGATACTTGATGAAAATCCATGACGTATTCAAGAAAAGCTTTGTGAGATTCTCACTAAACAATTTTACAAAAAAACAGCATGTGTTTCGCTGTACAATAGCTTCTTCAGGCGTGTCTTTACTGAAAGACACGCCTGAAGAAGCTAGTGTTTTTGAATATACAAACATACTGTCGTTTTTATTCCACAAAATGTAATTCATCTCAAATAACACGTTTGCATAGAAAAGAAAATCAGAAATGGAATATTTTATCCTTTAATACCCATTTGTTTACAATAAATCCATTCAGTACTTTTTTCAATAAAAATATCATATTGATAATTTATGTTGAAATTTGTTATAAAATTTCAATTTTATTACCTCAGCGTTACTAATGTTTCAACTGTATGAAGCCCTGTAATCCATTCATCGAATCGTTGATCGATTAATTCACAATTTCTGTGATAAATTTCATTCAATTACGTTGGTTTTGCTTATTAATAACAGTTTTATCTGTTGAAATTTCTCTTATCAAGAACAGTTGAAAAAGACTGACTTTGGTTTAACACCTGTATCTAAATACCTCAATAAGATGTGTAATTTTGTTCTTAGATAAAAACAAATGTACCTCATGTGCCAAGTCTCAATCTTCCTTGAAAAACCCCAGATGACTCCTCTCTAATGACTGCAAGTGCATCGAATATGGACTAACTGCTAATCAAATTTAAAACCAAACTTGTCAAAAATTCAAATTATTTCAGTGAACAGTCGATTGTTTGACATAATATTATAATTTTATCACATATTGAAATGCCTAAAAAGAATCTCACATCAACTTTAACTAAATGAGTTACACCACTTAAGGTAGTGACCAATTATTGACAGTTTTAGGTTGCAGTTGCTTGGTTAAGATATAAAAGAGAGATGATAACTTTTGATTTGTGTTTAGGACTGAATTGAAAATACTCCGTTGTCCCAACGTTGTTGAGAGAAAGAAATAAACTCGAAAAAATCATATCAAATTACTTTTTATTGACATGCCACTTTCCAGCGATGAAAAATACAAAATATAAATCATAAAATCCTCTTTATCACTTGATGATGATTATAAAATCCTCTTTATCACTTGTATATCGATAATGGAAATTGGAAAAGCTTTCAAAAATGTTACAGACCGGATCAGGTCAGTTCCGGAGAAACACAAAGTGAAATCGATATTCAAGTCAACAAAAACCATCACAGAGAGTCTAACAGCAGCGGACCTCATAGAACCAACACCAATAGTTCACGATGAGAAGTGTGAGTACTTTCTCTGAATACAAGAGAATCTCCTGCCTGGGGTGTAACTGACAAATCAGTAGAAGTGGCGATAGATATTCAGATAAACAGAAACAATTTCAATCGAAAGAAAGAGTAAACTATCATTTGAAAAATCTGGCTACTTGAATTTATATGCTCTCATCATTTAATTCAACCAATAGAAACGAAGCCATGCTTGCCACCAGGGCAATAAAACACAAGAACGAAACCAGTTGTATAGTATCTGCTTTGAGGCAACGAACACACTTCGCCTGTTGACAGATTGCCAACAAACCAGGAAAATAGCTGAGACAATTGCCCAATATTGTCATCAGATATAAAAGTTTGTTTACCTTTTTTAGTGAACTTCATGTCGATATTACCAATAACCTCTATCTTCCAGGTATTATAAACTTTCTGGTGTCTTTCAATGTTAAGATCGATAATATGTTTATCTCTTGAGAGGTATTGTATTCGATAACTTTCGAGAAAGAAGTTTTTCAATTTTCCCAAACAACAAACCGAAAGTATGTGAAGTTTAAAAAAAATCGATGGATGGCATACAGGGAAATCAATTTATTTTGAAGTACTATGCGTACTGCACAATCTTGCCAGTGATGTATATACCATTTTATGCAATCGTCCTGTTAGTGATTATATTATAAAATAAAGTATTTAGAACATTTCAGAGAAAAAAGATAATCAGCAAGTGTTTTGGTGTTTATACTGTTCAACATGAAGATAACCATTCTTGAAGAGTGGCTGAACTGTTGTCAATAGTAGAGTGTCATTGTTAAGTACTGAGCATCCTTAAATTTTCTCTTGAACTGGTTTCTGAACAGTTCGTCAACTTCTAGATTTTCTATTCAATTGTTTCGATGTAGAAACATACATAATTAGAGGTGATTTTTGAGAATTTACATCATTAAACCTTGGAACAATGCAAATCCAAACGTCTAGGATTCAAAAGAAGACTTTCAAACGATTGTGTATTAGTTTCTTTGGTGCATTGCTGTAATTCTTGAATGTATATAGTTTTTCTTTGTGTATTTAAAAATAAAAATTGCTTTTGTTTCTTGTGCGAGATTTATGCTTCAGTGTGTGGTTATTCATAATAGAACATTAAAGTTTAAATATAGCGTCAGATGGTATTTGTTTAGCCAAAGCTCTTTGCCACACATTGAATTGCAATTTGTTCTCGAATATTCAGAAAACTGCTTTATTTGACCTTATTAAATCTTGTTTTTATTAAGTATGTGATAACTGATATTTAATGTTATCTTGAGAATGTTTGGTCTTTTATTTTCTTGTTTATGTTATGTTTTAGAATATTTACTTTATTTTTTCTTTTATATTTTAATAGCACATCTTCTGTGGATATTTATACTCTATTCTTACTGACGAAGAAATTGTGATGTTCGGAAAACTAATAAATTATTGACTATTTAATGTTTTTTATTATTGTTTTACTTCATCAATGATAACATTCCTGTTTTGTGTGATTGTACTTCTCTTAATGCTTGATTTATAATTTTCATCAATAAAATAAAAATTTTCTCAATTGATTACATGAGGCAGATCAAAACTAATTAGATACTTCCTAAACTGATTTTCAATTCAAAAGGTGTATCAATTCACCAAACTGTTTGAACAAATTTCATTTTTAAAAGTGTTTATTCAACTTATAATATATGTACCTTTGTTTGGGTCAAATCTTGCCACTGAATTTTGAAGCAGTTATGCTCAACACGTCATCCATATATGTTTAGTTTGGGACAAAGTATGGTTAGCTAAATGACGTCTTTTAGATCCAATAGTGCGGAATAGTTATTTATACTCTCATGGTATGGGTATCAAATGGGTTTGTTGGTGGAAAACAAGGGTGGGTTTCAAATAATATATTGTAAGGTTATAGAAAATAAAGATAAATATGGCACTTTCTTATCACTTTTAATAAATGCATTTATTAAGCAGAGGGGAAAACCACAAATATCCACTAACATTACAGTACATTAAACCTAAATTAGTAAAGCTTCATCTGGGTATATAATGGAATTAATCCACTCTGCTTACTTTCATCATAGCAATAACAATTTTCTGTAAAAAATCTCTAATAACATCAATTTTCATATTAAAATATATTGTTAAATATTTTTACTTCACTGTATATCATACATATTTCGATATCATTCTTTGGTAGAAAAAACTATATAATTAACTGTAGCAAGAGTATTCACTAATAAATTTTTACGTTTTTTCCACTCTTCAACTTTGAAAGTGTCATGGCCTTTTTCATTTATTCCTCCCAGTCTTCATCATTTGAAGTTGATTCAACTTCTTGTTCTTGTCTAGGATCTGGTGGAGGAATCATTGCTGAAATCCGTGAGAGAGTAGAATCTGCATCGATACTATTTTCTTGGGGTTGCTTTGCTCCGGATATTCCCTTCCTTCTCATGAACAGTTTGTTATGAAGGTCTGCCATCAAATCTCCTCCCTAGAAAAAAATGTCAATACAAACAAACAAATTATGTATTATCTGCTGGCATGAGGTATGCCTAATTTACAGGGTTTACGGTAAGGTTAGGTCAAAAGTGACTGAGGCAGAGTATTGCTCTCATCATCTTTCATACAAGACAGGTTGTTCACAACCCACTCTCGATTAAACTTGATACAAATGTTACTAGAAACTTGGGCATAAAGTTCCTTGGTATCACTTTGGAGGATGATCTTGATTGGCATCAATGTATCACCAGTGCAATCAAAAGAATTAGTTAAAAAACATCGAATTCGGAGTATGATGAATTTCTATTTTGCAGACATCCAGTTTGACTTAAATATGGTAACATAATTTCGGAACATAAACATTCTACCTTTGGCCTGCCTGTCGATATTAGAAGTTGCATGTTATATTAATAAGGCTGAAAACTATCTGCCCAGACATAGATACAAATTAATGTCAAACTAAACATAACAATTCCATCTATCTAAGCTGAAATAACCTCCAAATGATGTTAAATGATTCACTTTCAATTGGTATGGGAATTTATACCAAATCATCTGTACTCAATAGGAATGAACAACACAATCTAAATTCCGAATCATGAAATAATTTCTATCCAGACAATTATTTTATAACATCTCTGAATTTTTAACAAAATTTGTTTTGTGTTTTAACTATGTGATGTATATTTTTATCTATAAATTTACTTTTAGAGATTCTGTGTTGCGAGGATGTCAATAAATTGGATAAATAAATTAATTTCATTTGTGCAGCTCTTCTGGGTCATTTTTCTACGTAATTTACGATTCATGAGTAAAATACGTTGATTTTAAATTCTAAAATGTCTTTTCTCGAGGGTATGTTTCTAGTTCATTTGAAAACATTTTTAATTTTCCACTGTCCAATATAAGGTTTTCTGAATTTCTCTGAATTTTTCATTGAAATATTACATTTTTGATGTCACTGAGTAAAAAAAAAAAACATGTAACATTTTGAATCAAATGTTCTCAGGACAAATAGTGAAAAGACAGAATAAGATACTTCGTGCAATAAAATCATGTAAAGTAGCTATACAGCAATTGAGCATATCTGATGCCATAATTAGAAACTGGTATATTTCCAAAATAATTAAAAACTACCACAATAACATCAATAGAAAATGTCTTATACACTATTAAATGCTCTGAATATAGACTAATAAATACTTAACCTAATTCTGAAACACTCTTGGAGAAGATAGTATACCGTCAACTATTAGGTTAGTTCACTAGTAATAACGAGAGAAATAATATAATTTTCGTTAACTAATCTGGCTTCAGATCCAAACAATCTTATGAAACAGCAATACAATTAACTTTTATTGGATGAAAAAACAACATTGTTAGACGAGTGTAGAACTGCAGTGTTTTTTGATCTGAAATGGGCATTTCAGATTGTGAACTGTATTTCATTAGAAGAAATGTAGTTATGGAGTGAGGGATAATGTATTATGTTGCCTCAGTAACTCTATTTATCAGGTAGGAAACAAGTAACGAAAATAAGCAATGAATATTCATCCAAGTTGAAGTGGGTTGTGGAATACCAACGGAATCTTGTTTGAAAGTCATTTTTTGTTAAGAAGTCAATGTTTTTACTGTTTATTGGGTTTAAAACCTTCATCAAACAGAAAAATGAAAAAAGCTATATCAATAGAGAATCTGCTGAAGTTAATAAAGGGCAAATTGAAAAGTTCACCTCGAAAACTTTTTTACTTTTATATTTGTTGGGTTGGGAGACAACATCAAGATATTTCGCACAAAAACATATTTTAGGATTCATTTAATTGTATGCATTTTAAAATGTTCAAATTCAATTTTCTCGATGGAGAATACACCAAATTCAAAAACCTTATATTGATGTTTAGAGAATTAAAAACTCCGACACAAAAAAAGAACATTACATGAAAAGAACTAGATATAATTCACAACACAGAAAGTTATACCAATTATATAAATGCCTATCATGAGAAGAAGCTGTACTTCTAAATACTTTCAAAATGTTAGGGAGAGTGTCACGCTGAAATTTGTGATGACTGAATAGTAACACTTTTGCGAGGATAATGTTTTCACCTCAGTACCAATGAAAAGTTTTTCTGATCCAATTTTCCTGATAGATAGATAGACTTCTATAACAGTTTATTGGTTTTTAGGGGATGCTGTAACCCCAAAATTTACATAACTTCATTCCTTCACCTCAAAGTTCTAGTGGAAGCTTGACATGAGACTTTCTGTACATGTTGGTTTTTTAAGCAGGCCACTCTCAGAATCTTGAAAACCTTCAAAGTTAAAAGGTCGTTGAATCACAAAAAGTTGTTCAAAGGTCAGTCAAAGATTATATTAAATTTGAAAAAAAAACATCAGGCGTTCTGAAGTTATTAGAAGAAAATAAAAATTGTTGAGTTTGGTTTTCTTTATTCAGAGCTTCTATTTTTTGAAATACAAAAAACAATGAATTTTTTGAGTATTTCATAAACACTCATTTGTTGTCATGAAATTTTTGCAGCAACGTTTCATTCAATAATGACCAACTTCAACTTTTTTTTCAAATACGGACCATATTTATCTCTATAAACAAGGAAAGAAGAATAGTGCAAATATTGAACTGCATGGGATTCAGATTGGTTTCTGAAACGAATGGGGAGTTTCTATTTAACTAATAAATTCTGAATGATGAATTTCATATGAAGAGCAAGATCAAGTAAAGATGCAGTCCTCGCCTTTACTAGCTTTAAAAGAATAACATTAGCATTTCATGTATCTTCTATTATTCCGAATTACTTCTTTATCTGCTTACAATAATTAGGATAACCTTTGACTATCAAACACCCAGAATAAGATAACAGTATCAACAATTTCAACATAGCATTTCAAGATCTCCATAATTAAATCCTCAAGATTCCTTTTATGAAAACAATGTGGTAATTCAGGTATTAGGATGATACCAGAAAAATGCAACTATTACCTCATTCTTGTTGTTGACTGTACTAACCTGAGGTACTACTTTAACTGCTGGTTTTTTATTTTCCTCAACAGGTTTCAATTTTGCCTTCCCTTTGCCCCCAGCATTTCTGATTGCCTCCATTAAACTAGATCGCATATCATCCTGAGGTGGCGGAATATGGTTTCTGAGAACCACCTCAGGTTGATTCTTAATCTCTTTTATTTCTTCATCGTTTGCAGGTTTAGGCTCAGGCGGAGGTTTAGGCAACTCTTCAGGTGGCGGTGGGGGAAGTGGGGGGAGATTTGATACTGGAATGTCTTCTTTCTCGAGTTCAGTTTCTATCTGATTTATAGTTGGCAGGGCACTACTTTCTAATTCTAGCTCTAAGACTGTTTGTGAAATATCTGCAGATGGAGCAATACCGGGCCCCAGTTCGCTATCGTAATGAAGATCATCGGCAATCCCAGGTAAATCTGGCAAATCTAATGGCACATCAAGTGCAGGCACTTCTTCTATTTGAGGAGCATAAAAGTAACTCTGAGCACGAGATCTTATCATTGTGGATCTCTCACTTATAGAATAAGGGGCTGCACCAATTTCTGATATATTTTCTTCGGCTTCCCTAATATTCTGGGGGCCCTTCAAGGCATCGGAAATCACAAAGTGTTTGTATAAATTCTTTCCAGAATTGTATAATAATAAATCGTTTACAAAATCTATGTCTTGAGGCACCCCTCCCAATCCCTCCATTTTTTTTTTATTTTTGTTATTAACGTTCACATGATAGAACTGTAATTTATCCACAGGTTCGTAAGTGGATGGAATACTTTTTAATTTTACATTATGTCTTTTCAGTTCTATAGGAGCAGAATCGTGAAAGACTGATGTATATTCTTTATAAACATTGGTGGCAGGGTACTTGCTACTTGAAAAAACTTGAGTGGCTTTTTTCGCTCCCTTGAGAGTATTAATTTTTTTATTTACAATATCTACTCGGTGAGATATGTCTGATAACTTTTCTGTGCTACTTTCCAGTCTCTTGTTGATTTGGGAAAATATTTCATCAGTTATATTGGATAAATGGTCCAAAACATCTGCAATTTGTACAATAGTCTCATGTTTATACAAGTTTTGAGGAATAATTGGTACACTATATTTCGAGTCCATTTTTAAATATTCTAAGAATCACATCACAAATGAATACGTATTTTTGAGTTGGAACACCACTGTAGCAAATTAGGAATGAACATTTCTCAAAAAATTAAATCCAAATCACAGGATCACAGATGACTTTATTCTGTCAAATCCTGGAGAGTCAAAATCAGTTGTTTGTTTCTTGTTTAGGCGAGTTCTTGAATTCATCGGTATGTATGTTTTGTTGCCTAATCGTAGTAAAAATCAACCAGTAAGTCCACTCCTACTACTTTCATTCATAAATTGACAAAGTTTTCGGTGACCTCGAAACGAAGAGCGAAGCCAATTTCGTTTTTTTACCATATGCGTGCGCTCATATAAAAACGAAATTTATAGAATATTTTGTGATGAATTACTCATAACCAACTACAAAAACTAAAACCAATAATAACGACAGCGAATAAACTAAACACAATATCAATTTTCGACCTTAACTAATCCGATGTCCGGTACCGTCAAATTCTTCGATACTACAGCACTGAACCCGTTGGATGAGAATCTCATCCTAAGAGCGGTTAAAGGTCCCCGGCAACTCAGGCAGATCACGTGGGAAGAGTGTCTACTGGTTATATTATTCTACTGTGGCCTAATCATATTCCAAATTGACGTTTATATCTTTTTTCAGCGGTTAACCGGGTCACCAGACCAGACCTTCTATGACCGGGTTAACTCTCCTTTACTATGACTTCTTTGACCGGGTTAACTCTCCTTTATTTCCGAACCGCGGTGAGAGAAATGGCAACACTGTCAAGGAACCTATGTTTTGAATTTGAATGTCCAGATCAATGAGAAATGTTATGGAATCGGCCCATACTTGATGAAAACCCATAACGTATTCAAGAAATACTTAATTGTGAGACTTTCACAAAAAAGTTTTACGAAAACGCTACACGTACTTCGCTATACAATAGATTCTTCAGGTGTGTATACGGCGTATAGACACGCCTGAAGGAAATACATTTCTTGTCAGGCCTTTTCTGTGCAATGAATTGACAGTGAAAACAATACGGAGATTAAAACCTTTGTATTAATTATTACTCAACTATTTTGAGCACCAATATTTCTGTTCATTTTCTTTCCAGTAGGCCTTTTGATCATGTACCGCATTTATTGGCGGTAAGATTTTTTATTCTGTAAATTTATATTCAATACCTTCTCTGTCGAGTATTATATCATGCAATAAGCAAATAAACTTACAACTTACTGTGAACTCACAATAAGTACTTCTTGAAGTTGCTGTATATTGTGTATCAGCATTGGCTGTTTCATTGAAGCACTGATGCGTGAACGGCAGATAGAAGCAAAAAATCATAATTCAACAGGTACCTTAGATAGAGGTTCAGGTAATTTTTTGGAGGTAGTCCCAATTATGGTTCCCTGTAGTATACAAATATTAATGTAAGAATAATTTGAAGTATTCATACACTTGAGAAAGCTACAGTGCTAGCGAAACATGTGATTATATTTTTTCAAATAAAGTTTGTGGAAATCAAATCGTGAGGTGTAGTTTTTGAAATTAGTAAAGAATCAAGCTTTGCTTTGATCCAACATAAACGTACCCTCACAACATGGATTGGTTCGAGCCAAGAAATCGAGAGTAAACTAGGTTCGATAATTACAGAGTATGATTGTTATATAGTGTTTGTGTTGAAGCTGTTAATTTATATACCATGTATATAAACGTAAATTTTTACAAGCGAAGTCTTTTATATTCTCAATTTGAATAATTTTCTCAAGCATTTTGAGTATCTTGTACATAAGTACATATTTTATAAAAACCTGCAAAACTTATACACACTCACACCGCTTTCATTAAGAGCTATTCATGCAGTTGGGTATATCCCTTCGTTTGTCAAATCATTACTAGAACTACCCATAAAAGCTTTTAAATGTCCCAATCTGTATTCTGGTTCATGATTTAGTCTATATAAGTTTCATATATAAAGGCAAGTTCCACCAAACAGACAAAACCACAACAAAACAGCAACAGTGTCGATTTCGACAAAACAAAAACTTGAGTTGTCAAAACAGGAAGCATTTTGAAGATTTCATGTCGCGGGCGACTGTTTTTGTCAACAACGAAACATTCCGTAGGAGGAGGAAAGATAAGGTTTCGGAGTTTTGCCTGTGTTTTTGTAAACATGTGGAAATGTTCTGCGACAAGAAACTTTTCAGTCCACTATTTTGTTTTGGTGTGTGACTTCATGTTACATAATATTATTACTTTACTCAAAGTGTTAATCAATGATTGGTATAAATATCGATTATCACAGTTTTCCTTTCTTTTCTGTGTTATCATTTATCAATTCTGCCATAATTTTACCCGTTCCTTATTCTCTCGTCTAATTAACAATCCAGAATTTTGATTTTTTCGGCTCACAACTTTGTTCAAAAGATTTGATTATAAGAAACCGCAGGTCATTATAAAAATATCGTCTGGAGAAGGCATGATGAAAACTGCTCTGTAGTGGAAACAACAGAAAACATTTCACAACAAAACAGGTAACTCAGAATATTTTTTGTCTGTTTTTGAAGCTATAAACAAGTTTTTTGTTTCTGTTTTTCAACACCAAACTAGTCGCGAGTTTGCTTGGTGAAAATATGCAAGGACCAAACACAAGCACTACAGCAAAATCCTTAAGGCGCTTTCAGAGCGGTGTCTGTGCGAAAGTAGCGATTTACGTTGAATTTGAATCGATGGGCATTAAATTCATTTGGAAAAAAGTTCTCAGGAAATTTATTCCACCACAGTTCTCTAAATGAAAGAGTTCTCAAACAGTGAAGTTTTAGGTGTACGAGATGAACCTTAAAAATGTGAGCAGCCACAGTTTGTCGCGTATTTCTGATATGTATCGCTCTTGGTGGAATAAAATGTGTCAAGTCACTTGAACACCTCCCGAGAAAGTATCTATAAAAGAGAGACAAATCTCCAACTTTCATCGATGTTCCAGACCATCGTGGTTGCAAGTGATGTTCGTGTCTCCAAATCAGGCGGATGGCTCTTTTCTGAATGGAATTCAGCAACTTCAGGGTATGTTTGGGGGCAGAGCTCCATACATGAGAGCAATACTCCAAAGAAGGCCTTAGCTGTTAAAAAAAATCTGTTTTTCCGTTAACCAGCTGTCGCACTCCTACGAATGACCACCCTTAGAAGTCGAAACTTCTGCGAGCTAAGGATTAATGAGATCTTAACATTAATCCTTACACATTTATAATGTGTGTTAGTGATTCCTAACACACATTATAAAGCATCAAAAGTTGCTGGAGTTTGTACAGTTTTGTGCCAACCAATGTGTTGAAAAAGAGGGATACATGGGCATGTAATATTCGTAAAACTTCTGGAAATACCCCTATTTCACAACCGTTTTATATTTGAGAACTGACAAAATTTACAAAAAAGTCACAGATATACTTCCAGATTTTTATTCCTTCATGTATAAGTAAATAGTATAAAGTACATCTTGCAAGCAAGTATTGAAAAGTGACAATAAAAAATATAATATAAAACTATGACAGTTAAAATATATTAGAAATTTGTATAATGCAAAACATAAAAATCTCTGAGACGGTTCTATGAGCGCTCTTCCTAAAGTAAGCGCTGTCATATGTTTGACAATATATCCTATTTGAGAAAAGCACTGAGATAGAACACTTAAAGCAGACATTTAACTTTTTGTTCAGTTTTGGTGACTTGACTTGGGTTAAAATTGAAAGTGCAAAATATTGTACCATGGAAAGATGATCAATATTTAGTCTTCCCGTTCATTTTTGATGAAATCTCTGATATCAGGCATGTTGTGCCACAAATCCGCATCCCATGACGGAAAGAGGGAAGTGAATTCTTCTGGTTCTTCACCCTGGTTGATGATTTTGACTGGGACATCTTCGCGGCCATGGTGTGCAAGTATTTTCTGTCAAAATAAAATCAGGCATAGAAGCAACAGAAGTATATCAGCTGCATATAATCAGAATGGTTTTATAAAATTCAATAATGGATGTAGGTATGTTTTTGCATTTGAATTTTCAAAAACTGATGATTATGAAAAATGAAAAAAAAATATGGAAAACAAAAATTACAAACTCAAATTGAAGTTTTGATAATACTTTCTAGGTGAAGTAAAAGTAACGCTACATTTTTGTAACTATATTTGTTATTACTTTAGATAGAAATGAAGGATCTGAAAAATTATATAGTACTTTCAATCCACCCCCATTAAAAATGTTACAGGTGACGCCTTTTTTTACCAAGAGGTTAAAAAGTGAGGCAAATATTCGTTGAAACTCCGAAAATGAAAATAAAATGACGTTTTGTATGTTTCATATCATCCAGTGAAGGAATATAACTGCCAATCCAAAAATAATAGAAATACCTCTGCGAAAATTGGTCCCTTTTCTTTTTCTTCATCAGAAGCTCCTCTGCCAATCCAAACAAAAACTTCAGTATCTGCGTCAAGAACCATAATGTCATCTTCCCAAAGATCTTCCTGGTCGTAATTCTTGATTTCTTCAACGCCCAGCCTGTTAGATTTTCCTCGTATCTGGCAGTGATAAAGTCGACAAGTGGAGCTGACAGACCTCAAGAGACGAGGATGCAGTTCACCTACGGCTTGCCAAGATCTGAAATAAATAGTACAGAATGATAAATAAATTTATCTTCCACAAAATAATGATAGTATATAGAAAAAATATTCAAAAGTGGTTCAAAGAATTGCAGAATAGCACTATGGCATTTTGCGCATCTTCAAAATATTTTTGCCACTATCACCTAGAACAAATATGCTTATAACATCCCCAAATTTGGTTGTGAATTCAACAATCTGTAACAACATATATACGTATTTCATTAGTTCGGACTTCCATTGTCTAATATTATATAAAATGTTTTGAAATCCCTGAAATAACTAAAAAGAAGAATTAAAAAAATTAAAGAAGAGGAATAAAAATGAATAGCTAAAAAACGTCGAGAATATTTTAAAGATACACTTTTATATTTTTCAGAATGTTTATATGCCAAAACGAGCACTTTTTCCAATCACCAGAAACGTCGGGGGTTCCAGTATTAATAAATTATTCATCTACTTTTACAATAAAGCTGGGATTATGAATGGACTGACCCGTTACTTGATAAACATTAATAACACTACCCATGATGATAATTAAAAAAATTTGACCAATATTTTTTTATTCTAAACGTGTTTCGCTTACACCTTAGCTTCATCGGTAGTAATAGTCATAGTCATTTTATTACTACCGATGAACCTACGGTGTAAAATAAGAAGTGGTGCACCCCAGGGGTCGGTGCTGGGCCCCACTCTATGGAACAATTTATATGACGTCTTTCTGAAATCGTAAATGTCAGACAGAATAAAACTTATCGGTTTAGCGGATGATGTTGCCGCGATAGTGACATCAAAAACAGAAGACCTTCTGGGGAACTTGACGAAAAGGGAACTGGTCCGTATCTCAGAAAAAATCAACCGGCTGCGCTTAGAATTGGCTCCCGAGAAGACTGAAGCTGTCCTACTCTCTAAGAGAAAGAAACTAAAACCAATAAGTTTCGACATCCAAGGAACAACGATTGGACTTAGCAAAATTGTGAAATATTTGGATATATGGCTGCACACACAGCTCACTTTCACTGAACATATAAGCCAAATTGTAGTCAAAGCCGACAGAACCGTGGCTGCACTAGCAAATCTAATGTCGAATATAGGTGGCCCCAGCGTGGTGCACATCCAGTCGTGGAAATCACAACTTTAAAACTCTCGAAATTTCGAGATTTAGGTCGGAAGTTCCAAGAAACAAATAATGAAAATATGTGTCACTTTTGCGCTTCCATAGACCCTTCTGCGCTTCAGTGCAATTTAGATCTGAAAGTCTAAAATACATATGTGAAGGCGTGTAGTATTTTATGAGAATGTATGGATACAGTGAGGATCAAAATCTATAGGAATCATTTTCGTTTCCACCAAAAATTTATTTTCTAAGGACTTATATATTTGTGGTAGTTCATTACGAAGTTTCATACTTAGTAATTTAGTACTGTGGGTAAATTTAGGCTAATCTGAAAACATTTAAAAGGGATACAGTTCTAGTCTGTCTAACTTGGATACATGGATATCACGAGCTTCTCGGATATTTTTAGGCAATTTCCAGAAGGAAACACCATTAACAGCAACAATATTCACAGTTTGCTTCCGAGATATAACCTGCAAATGCAGTGTCATATTGCAACAACATCATTAAGTGTGAACTTCTGCAAAATACATAATAACCGAAGATGGTTACAACTCAATATGTTTTTTAAATTTCTGGTTTGGTAACGTCTTCAATTTAAAGTCTTGGACCGCTGCATGAACAGTGAGTGTCCTGTTAATCTTAAATAAAGGACATATCAGAAGACCCAAGTAGAATATTGTCAGCTACGGAGTAAAATATTTTTTTCTGAATTTTGAGTTTGTGGTTTGTAAAAATTAATGTTGAATCATCAAAGGTAAGTAGTTTCGGCCCCAAAATAGAACCCTGAGGTACTTTATTCCATAGAAAATGAAAAAAATCAACATCATTCAAAATTTAAAACTGTTTTCAGTCTATACTGTGTAAACTAAACCAATCATAAATTTTACACCTTTTGTCTGCCAAGCAACATTTCCTGTTGAAACTCATCAGGAGCTTGGATTGAATCGATACTTAATTGGCCTGCAATCAGCTGTGTTAGTTGAATCATCTTTCTTAAAAATGGGAGAAACTAATGAAGTTTTCAATTTTTTTCAAACGCCCCCCTCAAGTAACTTATTAATCATTTCGTTAAACGTCTCATTATGTTAGTTCACCAGAATGATTTTTTTCTCGATTTGAATATATTCCAACACAATCTTTATTTACCTGAAATACTGTGTGAAAGCAGTTGGCTCTGCACCTTGAACGATTCTTTGAACATGTGTCCACTTAGGATGGTTTTTAGAATTGAGAAACTCCTCAGCTTTCCTCATGGCCTCTCTCTTTTCTCTTTCGTCGCAATGTTTACCAATCCAAACGAATAGCATAGCATCTGTGGTGTCCAAGATGAAACAGTCATTAGAGTCCAATTGTGAAAACTCCAATGGTTTGTGGGCCACTTTGGTGATTTGTAAGGAACCTGTTTTGTCGGAAACACTGTACAGGGTGACGTGGTTTTCTTCGGTGGTCTCGAAATGTTGATCGTCGTCTCCAGTGGTGTCTGCAGGGACATCGTCCTTGGAGCCTTCACCGAGGGCTTCAAAGAAGTGGGTGTAGTCGCTCTCGGGACTGAATTCGTCTGAAATATTTGTACTATGTGAGTTTTGAAGGAAAAGGAATGAAGTCAATGACCTTGTGAGCGTACAGAAATCGAAGAGTTGAAAGGTCAATAACATTCCTTACCCCTGTGACCCATGCAAGAAAATAGGAGGTGAGCAAATTCATAAATATAATCTTTGATACCAAAAAAATGAGGAAACCTCAAAAGTTTAGAAATTGAAGAGAAAGTTGGCAATTAAGGAATTAATTGAATTGTGGAAGATGATGTAACAGCGTCAACCAGAGATCTACACTTAGTTTTTCGAAAAAAATGTGTTAGGAAACAGCACTGCGGAAGTAACCAGTCATAGAAAGAAGACACTGGCAGCAAGGAGAAACTCACCGAGTCATTAAGAAACCGAAGAGAATTCGTTAAAAAGCAATCTAGACAGAGATACATGGGGGACAGATAAAATAGAAAAATAAAATTCTGACAGTTTATAATCATCTAGCAAAAACACTAGCACTTTTCCTAGGAAACGGAAAATATTACTTCTGCCCAGGAGAGGTGACAAGAAGATGGATAACTCTGCATCCCTCAGGTTAATATTCCTTTTTGATGTGGGCGGCAAATTATACGAGCTAATATGCCGGTGTATAACCGGAAGGTAGTTCCGATTTCGAGGAAATAGATAGGCTATAGTTGCACTGGAAGAAAAAATTGTGAATATTCCACAGCGATGAATATATTATATCGCTCCACACCAAACATCATGCCTTGCGATAACCTAGACTTCACGAGTGTTTATAAAAGCATATCATGTCAGCTTTCTATCGATGAGATAAATAGATGAAGCATTGATAAAACCTGGTATAGGTATCATCACATCCTACCTATCATATTCAAGTAATACTGTCTTGTTCGATTTTCACTAAACAATTCACAAACCCGAAATAACGTATTTCACTATATATAAGCTTCATCAGACGTGTGCATACTAAAAACGCCAAACACGCCTGAGGAAGCTATTGTACAGTGAAGCACGTGTTGCGATTTTGTGAACTGATCGGTGAACATCTCACAATAAAGTGTTTTTTGAATATTTTATAGATTTTCAACAAGCTACGAAAATTTGACCATAAACAACGGTGTCCCACAGGAATCATAGATGGACTCTTCTCTCGGGAGTATCGTATATAATGGATTACTATAAATGGAGTAACCAGATGGCGTTATACTTACCGGTTTGGTTGATGATGATGCTATGATATTAACGGTCAAATATGAAGAGGAGCTATGGATAGAGACATATCAACGCAGGCTTCCAAAGAGTAGTTAACTGGGTAGGAAATTGTCTTAAACTAGCTCACCACAAGACCTGATAGAAAGATATCACCAATCTAGTTTGGTGACATAATCACAGCTAGTAAAGACAAAAAATATATGTGTGACCAAACTAACTGAGCTATCTCTTACCGAATGCTGGTGGGTCACAGCTGTTGCTCTATGGAGCTCCAATCTGGTATAGGTACTGTAACGGAAATTGACATAAAACCTCATGATAATCTAATGGATGATGAGTAAATATCAACGAATTTCAGTAGATGCATAGCAGTCATGCCTGATATAACTTCAAATTGAAGAAAGATCAAAGCGATAAAGGTGGCTCAAGAAGAAAATTGTGAAAATCAACTTACCACTGATCGATTTTCACTTCCTATCGTCCAACCCGTGTTAGGAATCACACGTTAAAAGTTTCGACATTTGAGAGTTGTCATTCGTAGGGGGGCGATAGCTGATTAACAAATCTAGCTACGTAGACCCTTTGGAGGACCTATATAATTCATACAAGTACTAACAGGAGTATCCAAGTACTCTGAGGAAACCAACGATGCAGTACACATCCTGTTATGTGCAGGATGTAACGACACACGAGGAGAGTACCAAAAACGTTCAATGCAGAAAACATGATGAACAGTGAAGAAATATGAAAGTGGATTCTCGTGTAAGTTAGAGAGGAGAGAGGGGGAATTTGCCACTAGTAAACCGACACTCGTTCATCAGGATTTTTCCATTCTTCGTTACTACAACTACCCATTGCATATCTTATGTATTCTTAGATTATACACCGTAACAGACACTCATGCATAACTCCACTAACTGAATCAATAAATAACTCACCAACAATGGTAACTTTGGCCTTTCCAGCGTGATCTTGGTCTCTAATCTGGTTGGCAGCATTGATAGCCTTCAGCTTTTCAACTCGTCTGGCCTTGGACCCAACGTACACGTAAATATCTCTTCCTACGTCCAGAATGAAGCAATCGCCATCGTTCATTGAAGAAATACTTGGTACAACCTGTTTCACTCGAATATTCCGAGAGCCCTTGACCTGGAATAATCTTTTCTCGGCTGCGTTGGGGTCCACGTGATGGAAACCAGAGACAACGCCTCCAGGAAGATACCTGATACCACCGCTCTTGAAGTAGGAGAGGAACAACTGCGATTCATGGTCTTGTACCTCCCTGTGTTGAACCGGTTCCCCGTTCAACTGTTCGTCGAGCTGGACGGATAGAATGGCCGCTGCACCGGACTCGTCCTAAATAAAAGTCATTTCAATGTTTTCAACTGAACATATACGTGTACATTATTTAAAAATTGGTTGCTGAGTGAGACAGGCCCAAAACAGCGCAGTCATGACACGATAATGTACGGTGCTGTTTCGATTGCAAAGATCTCAATAGGATCAAAAGTGCGATGTTTGTACTATACTTGATTTTGAATTGAAATAACTTTTCTCAAATTTCAGCGCTAATGGTGGTAGTCGTATGAATATTCAGAAGAAACCCTAATAACAGATAAGGTACTATCAAAACTTCAATCTGCTGATCAACAATAACAATAAAAACAATTCCTCGAAAGCACCGGATGCTTCAATTTTGTCAACTTTCGCGTCAACGCGAAATTTGAAAATATCAACGCGCCTACCAAGCACTAACGTTGAGAGGATTTTGAAAAAACACAAATTCAAGTCATATAGGATCAAAAGAGTTCATGAACTCCGTCCAGGAGATTTTGGACGCCGCATGGCTTTTTGCCACTGGTTCATGGAAAGGTGTAACCAAGTGCATGATTTTCCGTTAGATTAAATTTGGACAAACGAAGCTTATGTGAGCAGTGCCGGTATTTTCAACCGCTACAATTCTTATACTTAGGCACAACAAAATCCCCATTCTATCGTGGAGCAGAGAAGTCAAGGAAATTTTGGATTTAGTGTGTGGGCAAGTTTTCCAGGGGTACAATTATCGACCCGTTCACATCTCAGCAATTTAGAAACTTTAAGGCAAGTTATTGAACCCCTTGTTGATGAACTGCCACTGATGGAGCTCAGAAAAATATATTTCCAACAAGACCGAGCTTCGCCTCACAACACTGCAATTGTCACCAATTTTTTTGGCTGCAAATTTTGGTAATAATTGGATAGCCAAACAAGGACCCAACCGTTGGTCGGCCAGGTCACCGGACCTAACGCCTATGGACTTTTACCTCTGGGATCTTATTTTTAAATTGCCGACCAATTCTAGATACAAATTGGAAGCGGCAGTGATGCAAAGTTTTGCTTCTCTCACTTCTATTGAACTAATTAACAGTTTTATATGAAACTATATTAAGTTTGTCATAAAATTTGACCCTCAGACACAGCCATCAGTTTTCATCTATCTAGTTTGAAAACAGGAGTTTCCTTTCAAAAGTGTCCAATTTGGCCCATTCTATACATGGCGAATTTTGTGTCCAAACAGAGAAGCATATCGTGTTCCTTTTCTTCAGATTCAGTAATCAGAACAATGTCGTCAGCGAAACGGATAGAAAGGATGGATCTGCTTCATTTCATTTAATACCGATTCAATAGAAATATTGAAAAGATGAGGTGGCAACGGACATCCTTGCCTTATTCCTTGTCTAATTGTGGCTTGTTTTAGCTTACAAAAATAAGGGTAGCAAATACATAATTTCTTAAAATATTTCGCAAATAGTAATTAAAACTACTCATTCTAGTCAACTTGCCCTAAAGAAAAAAATATCTACTCCCCTGATCTCGTTTTCCGCTCCAACTAATTTCGGCAAGGATCACTGTCATGACCACCATAATGACTTTGCGCAATGCCATTTACAATTCATAATGATTCACAAGATGTGAATTACTAATCGAGCTCAAGGCCTAATTTTAATTATTCTCGGAATAGGATCATAAGAAAATGTCATCAGCGTACGCTGCTGGGGTCGAAAACAATTAAGACTTTTTTGTTTCTTTTTCCTTTCCGTCTTTTCTATATTTCACTGGATTCCGCGTTTGAATATACCGAGAGGGTGGAATTGTGGAAGATAAGTCGAGCTGGTTCTGAATAAATAACGAAAGCTAATCGCACATTGATATTGCAATTTTTTGTGGACTATAATATTAATAGAAAGGTGTTATATGTTATGGTTTTGGAAAAATTTGTAATATTCATGACAGTAGATTTTCAGTAGTTTTAATGATATTACTTGCTATTTTTCAATATATTGTCTGGCTTCATTGAGGATTCAGTCGGGTTACTCCAGAACTATTTGATCAATCACATGCAGGTTGATGAAACGGAATTGCTCTAATTTCTGCATACGGATAATGGAGTCGCACAAGGGTTTATATCGGGACACGTGCTATTTATCATCTATACACACGAGTTCCAAAATTATAAGATGTTTAGCAGCAGCCACCAACACGCAAATTCATATCTCATTTCTAGAAAAAGATCTTCCTTAAGCAAACTTCCAATTGAATGTAGGCATTGAATCCATCGTGTGAGTGGAAATATTATGAACTGGTAAGTTTCAAGGAAATGGTCAATTTCCTTAAAACAAATTGAACTAATAAAAAAGTAGAGATAATGACTTTTCCCAGGATTTGATGAGTTTGGCTTCGTCCGTATGGTTGTATTTTTACTGCATTTTTTTGAGGACGAAACACAAGCACTACAGAAAAATTATCAAGGCGCTCTCAGAGCGGTGCCTGTGCGAAAGAAGCGATTCTCATTGGATTTGAATTGCTGGAGATTAAATTCATTTGGAAAAACATTCTCAGGAAGTTTATTTCACATAAACGTAGTTCTCCAGATAAAAGAGTTCTTAAACAGTGGATTTCTAGGTGTACTGAGTAAACCTCAAAACGAAGAGTTAGCCATAGTATGTCGCGTATTTCTGATATGTACCACCGCTCTTGGTGGAATCAAATGTGCCAAGTCACTTGAACACTTTCCGTGAAAGTATTTATAGAAGAGAGACAAATCTCCAACCTTTGTCGATGTTCCAGGCTATCAAGGTTGCACTGATATTCGCGTCTCCAATCAGGTGGATGGCTCTTTTCTGGATGGAATCCAGCAACTTCAGGGTATGTTTGGTGGCAGAGCTCCATACATGAGAACACTACTCCAAAGAAGGTCTGATTTGAGCTTTATAAAGCATCAAAAGTTGCTGAGGTGTGTACAGTTTTCTTGTTCGGATTGAGGAGCAGCCTTTGCAATTTCGGCGACACGATTGTGCCAAGACATATTGGTGTCGACTTTGACCCCCAATAAACTTATCGAAGCAGAAAGCGACATTGTCTCACCTGACATTATTAAATCCGGTTCGGAGACATTTATCTTTTTAGAGAAACCGATGTCTGGGTTTTTTGGCATTGAATTGAACCTAGTTACTTGCACCCCAATTCGAAATCACTTTTAGATCCTCATTAAGATTTGCAACCTCCTGCTACCGGTGAATGTGTGCCTTCGTAGCCGATGTCTTGGAATCCAAATGGAATGACGAAACGAGTGTGCTGTCGTCAACAAAGCAATATATTGGATTCTTGGTTTTTTCCAATAAGTCGTTGATATACAATAAAAAGAGGGTTAGAGACAATATGGATGCCTGGGGAACACCAGCGATGATGGTGAAAGTATTCGAGATATATCCATCGACGGCCACTTGCAGGAAACGTTCTTTCAGGAAGTTGAAGAACCATACACAGAAATGATCCGACAAGCCACAGCATCGAAGTTTGGCCAGCAAACCCTCATGCCACACACGGTGAAAGGTCTTAGAAAGATCAAGAGCAACAGCTCTTGATTCTCCATGTTTCTCGATTGAGTTATTCCAAATATGGGTGACATACGATAGAAGGTCGCCTGTTGATCTTTGTTTCCGAAAGCCATATTGATGATCGCACAAGATGTTGAAGTCTTCCAAATATTTGAGGATATGTTGGTTTACGACTTTCTCCATGATTTTTGACATCACAGATAGTAAAGCGACTGATCTATAGTTATTTGGAAGATTTGTTTGTCCTTTTTGGGAATATGCTGAACTCGAGCAATCTTCCAACAAGAAGGAAAACCCCCATTTTTCACAAGACAGGATGAAAAGTCTGCAAAATACTGTTGAGAGTTCATTTGCGCACTTTTCAAGTACGATGTCGGGCACTTCATCAGGGCCTGACGCCTTGTTGATATTGAGCTGTTTGTGTATCTTTGCCATGAACTTAAATCAAATCAAGAGTACGCTCTGAAAATACATCACCAAACTGAAGTACAGTCATTAGTTTACCAAAAGAAGAAACTGTAAGTATTCCAAAAGACAGTCCAATAAATTCAATAATAAAAATTGTTGGGTCGAAAATTCATGTAATCATTTTGCTGATTCAATAATAATCAATTTCAATGACAGTGATTCGGATTCTGATATTAATATCGATTATAGTGAGTTAATTTTATAACAACCATTATACTTTCATATTTTTATTTCGTTTTACCGTCTGAACGCTATGAACTCAAAAACTACCTAATGGATTTTCATGCAGCTTCAACCAATGGACGGAGTAATTCAAGAAGAAGGTTTATGTATGTTTTGTGTGAATTAGTTCAAGAAAGACGATGTTATTGGTCAGTAGAGCTTTCATAAAAAACGCTACCTAATTCCCTTGAGAAATTACAAAACAATTCAGTACATACACCGTTGGTCGTATTTCATATATATTCAGAAGAATCAGCTATGGCATATGTATATCTTTCAGGGATAGCTTAATATACCCATTTCAATGTTGAAAATATGGGTCACATAGAATGTGGTAATCGGAAAGCTATTCAGAACGATAAGATATTAATTCTTATCGTAAGCATAATTGCCCTTCACACCATACAATTCAAATTGGAGTAATTGCTAAATTAAAACTATCGCGCGAGAAAACAAGTTCAAGCGGCCTGACGAATCTATGCAACCTGAGGCGTTTTCTGGCGCTCATGTATTGAAAACGTATTCGTCTGTGATTCAAATACATTCATTCTGGCGTTGAAACGATGACGTCACATCAACTATGATTTGAGTCGTATACATCATGATTCAAAACTAGCGTGAGGTTGGTTTTGAAACGGAATTGTACGTTATGTTTATACGTCGGTTGTCAGTTTCTGCTTTATTTTGATCGTTATTGTTTATAAAGTGCTGAAAACTTTTCATCAAATGAGTTGTAACGCTGTACAAAATAAAGCTGTAAAATTATTACTTGCACGAATCCGATTATAATTGACGTCAGAGAAAATTAAAAAGTTGGTTTGTTTTTATTATTGAAATTGACATCTGACACAAAATGAACATAACAATCTGGCGAATCTTATCATTAATGACGTAAATACGACCAGAACACACTTAACGCGTTTTTTGTTCCGTGCTGTCGTTAGATAAATAAGTACCTAACTATTTTCAAATTAAAATTGAGTCGTGAACGTACTTTCGTTTACTTCAAAAGTACGCCTTTTATGTGAAAACAGGAACCTCTTTCATGGAAGAAAATCCCACAATGATCTGGGATATTCCAGAATGTTTCCGAACATTCCACCATATTCCAGAATGTTCTGAAATGTTGTGGAATGCTCTGTTTTGGAATGTTCTGGGTTATTCTACAACTCTCTAGAAGGCCAAGCTTCTAACCGTTATTTCAAAAGCGCGCCCTTCGGGAACCTTCTTTATGGACAAGATTATATTCATATGACAAAAAAGGCATATATGGAGCGTGCCAAAAATTTGAGAATCCATGAAATTGTGTGAAAAAGCATAGAATCATAATATTGAGTTTGAAAATGGTAGGCTTCATATGTTCTGCTACCCGTACCAAGCCGTGTCAAGTCACTAGTATACAATAATTAATGCCACTATAATTTCATACTGGATCTGGTATATTCGATATTACAATCTGTTTTTGTACATACCTGACTTGTTTCTGATCCCAGCCAGAAGTGCAGATCATATGTTTTCTGACCATTGTTTCTGATTTTTGTCTGAAAAAAAAATTACTGTGAAACATTTATTGTAATTCGAGTAATAAAAAACGCATCAAACAGTTTAGTTACGAAATTTCATAGTATACTTAGGAAAGTAATTTTTGCCCTATATGTAGTATTTGGAATGTTTCATAGTCCAAATTAATTCCATCAATTTTATTTGCAAATCTGCGAACTTTGGCCACTAGTAACTTACTCCTAATGCTTCTGGAGTGCCAACCTTCTGGAAAGACGTGTAATATAAAACCTGACAAGAGACAAATACGGTTTACTTTTATCCACTGAAACATAGGTACAGAATTCCAAAAAAAAAATGTGATCAAAGTTACGACTTAGTTAGACAACGGTAGAATTATTGTTTATTGTGACCTATTTAAATTCGACCAGATAAACTAATAACAAAACCGATGACTTTATTTGGTGACTGATCTTTCAGGTCAACTGACAGAAGTGGAATTCTGCCAAATGCTAGAAACCCGCTAGAAACTATCCGACAATCTCTTCATATGATAATTTAGACGACAATGACCTGTAAGTAGACCTGTTAGACCACGCAGCTCATCCCTGCTGAAGTCTAAACAATTGTTTAGTGACATAATTCGAAAAATTGGTAATACATTGAAATGGGTAATTCTTGGTAAGTTTGGGTAGCAGCCTGAAACTCTTTTCGAAGTCCAGATATTCAGTGTTTGTTCGGAAAATACTAAACCGATGCCAATGGCATGTTCCAATGAAACTGCTTGCAGCTCTTTCTCTTGCAAAGGAATCTGCAGTTTCATTATCTTCCAGACCAGTATAGCCAGGATTCCAGACCAGATACAATTTGTGAAATCTTCATATTGAGGAGTCTTTTCTGGCAGATCACTACCAAATGGCACGTTGTTTGGTAATAGCCAAGGGCTTTCGTGTGAGGTTGATTTCTGCACACATAAATCAATGACGTGTATTTCTGCCTAAAATACGGTGGCATAGGTACCCAATCAGGTTGATATATCTGTACTGAGTCTGTAACCTGTATACACCTGCACCAGAACCTAAATGTGTTTTTGATCCATCCGTGATCCTCCTGGAGAATCCAGTGCACCTTACTCGGGATGATAACTGTATATAGCTGGTCGTGATTGACTATTAGATGCATTTCAAAAATAATATAAGTTTCAGTTCAGATAAGCATTTTTTGAACAATTGGCAATAAGTACGCACAATTCTGTATTCTGTCAGTCTAGTAAATCAGTCTCTTTAAGAATATGTGGAGGTGAGGTAGGTCTTTAATGATTGCCATGGCCGGTGACGTTGTGGTACTGATGGTACCATAGATAGTCAGGCAAGCCTGAAGGCAACACAAAAGAGCTTCTCCTGAGGCATTAAATATTTATTACCAATGGATTTGTTAGAGGCGCCTAAACCACGATAATTTCTATATAACTTTTGACCATATGGATAGTCTGGCTTTCTGTGACATATTTTCTTATCCCCTGAACCAACTACTGTTGAAGAGTCGCAGTAGCTGTTCTACTTACAAGCATGGGGTAAATGCACCGAGTTATGCTCTATCATATGCCTTTTTGACAAAAAAAATAACCACCATAATATCTTTCTTGTTGAGGGATCGTGTACTGCTAAATCCGTCGATTTGCCAGTTTGATAAGCATACGGATGGTTGTTCAGGAGGATGTATAAGAGACTACTCGCCTGGTTTATTCTTCCAAATGTCGCCATTCTTGATGATATCCCAGTCGTTCATGTGGGACGTTTGGCACCCTTAAAGACAATTGGTCGATTGTTATCAAGAGTCAAACTTTCAGGAAAGTGGTTTTCTATCAAAAGCTCTAACGTTCCTTTTCTGGAGGTCGTAAATATAGTTTCATCGACCCGATTTCAGGTTTCAGCTTTCTTGTGCAGGATCTTGTGAAGTATTTCAAATATACCCTCACAAAACCTTACTCCATGCCTCCAGTTTTACCTTTTTAATTTCTTTGTAAAAAGTCTTCAGAGTGGTCCCATGAAGCTCTCAGTTACCTGATTCTTCATCTCCATGCAAAGTGACATATCTTTTAGAACGAAAAAGTATTTTTTGCTCGGGTTCGAAAATAGAGGACAAGTGATTTTTTGAATCCAATTATGTCAAATTCACTAAATAAGATGGAAATACAATTTGAACAATTACGCAATGTGGGTTAATTACAGATTTGAATCAAATATTGTTAACTTCATTCAAAATCATCATTGAATTGAGACGGAATATATACTTACATTCAAAACGATGTATGAATCCCCAGTGTAAAACTTTCCATATTGGTTTTTAGGGTAAGCAACTGGCTTGAAATCCTGAAACAAAAAAAATGTTTAAATTTTTGTTTTTTATTTTTTAATCGTCTGAAGTGGTCATTGAACACTTCTAGAGTTGAAATTGAGGCGAGACCGAAGAGAACCTATATTTTTTGTCAGCGGGAAACATCTGAAATGCTGATACTGATTGACCGAACAAAAATGAATCATTAATTTGCACACCTGCTCAACAAGAATTAAAAAAGGGACAGCACCTTCACTTCTCGCTTTTACGGTTGATTATGAATAAAAAATGTATGAATTCTGCCTCAGATGTAGTGTATTCATATTGCAGTCCTACGTTTCCTCCACCATATTATTGGTATGTCAAATAACATGGTCCTGAACACCTTGAAGCTTAGGTAAGTTGTTGATGTACATCCAGCTAGTATTAGACCTAACAGTGTTCCTTGTGGTACACCGTCAGTGATATTTAGTTCTCCACCCAATGTATTTCATTTTTGTTGTTGACGTACATTAAGCTAGTATTAGACCTAACAGTGTTCCTTGTGGTACACCGTCAGTGACATTTAGTTCTCCACTCAATGTATTTCCTTTTTGAGATCTGTTCGAATAATAATTTCTTAATAGATTTAGAATCTGCCAAAACACAAAGCACTACTGGAAAAACCTAAAGGCGCTTCAGGGGCGGAGCGGAAGTTTATTCCACATAAACGCAGTTTTCCAGATGAAAGAGTTCTTAAAAAGTGAAATTCGAGGTGTACTGAGTTGAACCTCAAAACGATGAGCAGCCACAGTCCGTCGCGTATTTTTGGTATGTACCGCTCTTGGTGGAAGTTTTTCTAACATATATGCATACAGGTCAGGTATGTCAACAGAAACGGCTCTATGTCGGGTAACAGAAAAAGTAGAATATACTTACAAAAATAAGGAAGTACTTTTAGCTACTTTCTTGGACATTGAGGGCGCATTTGACAATACGTCGTTAGAATCAATCATCCAGGCGTCGAGGAGAAGAGGGATCGACAAGACAAGCTGTAGGTGGATAGACTGCATGCTTAGGGGAAGATTGGTATATACAACCATTATGGGGGAAACAGTCGTGGCACGGGTAGCAAGGGGCTGTCCTCAGGGGGGGTTCTATCCCCTCTGGATGGACCGAAGAAGAAGGGCTTAACATAAGCCTATCCAAATCGACCATAGTAGCATTCACCAAGAGGACTGAAACGAAAGGTCTCGGACCTCTGAAACTTCGAGGTGAAGAAATACAAGTGTCGGGGCAGGTTAAATATCTGGGAGTGATCCTAGATTCCAAACTGACCTGGAACCAACACCTGGACAGGATAAAGAGGAAAGCGGAGGTAGCACTGATGCTCGCCAGACGCACCTATGGAAAAACATGGGGGCTAAAACCAGACATGGTATATTGGTTATACACGATGGTGTTTAACCCATGATAACATACGCATCTCTGGTCTGGTGGCCAAAGATGAAGTAGGCGACCGCCATCAACAAACTAGGCAAGGTGCAAAGACTTTCATGTTTGGGAATGACGGGAGCAATGAGAACTACCCCAACAGCTGCATTGGAGACATTCCTGAATCTACCTCCTTTACACTTTGAGGTCCGAACTGCAACAGATCGGACCGAACAGAAATTTCGGAACAAATGGAGGAGCACGGACCACATGACACCGAAGTATACCTTTAACACAAACTTCACGGTCAAAATCATAAGCCGTGAAGAGTGGAAGACCATTAGTCATCCCGAAAACATGTTTGGAAAAAACAACTGGTATACAGGTATACAACTATCCGCTAGGACTATACCCATCCGTCTTTCAGGCGGAAGTGTATGCTATCTTGCAGTGTGCAAGGCGTATTAAATTGGGACCTCAAAAAAATAAGCGGCTCAATATTTTTACAAACAGCAAGAGCGCACTAGGGGCTCCGACAAACCCGAAGGTGACATCAAAACTGGTCTGGGAATGCTATGAAGAACTGAATGAACTTGCAAACAGGAACAAATCAACTTTGTTCTGGGTGCCAGGGCATCCAGGAATCACAGGTAATGATAAAGCTGATGAATGCGCTAGACGCGGATCGTCAACTCCATATATAGGTCCTGAACCACCTCTGGGGACACCAAAATCATTGGTACGAAACCAGATTAGGACATGGACCAATAAGAAGCACACAGAGTACTGGACAAAAGTACCTGGCAACAAACAGAGTAGAACCTTCATTAGGGAACCTTCCGATAAAAGAACCGAAGAACTACTTCAATATAGTAGGGATCGGCTGAGGGTTACTAACCGGTCATTGTCCGCTTAGAGGACACCTGAATAAAATGAGGCTGTACAACGGAGACTTCAGCTGCATATTATGCAACGAAGGGATAGAAACAGCTCTACACATCTTATGCAAATGTGAGGCACTGAATCACAGGAGGCAGGTAATATATGGATGTACAAAATTACGCCCAGAAGAATATGACGAACATCCAACACGGAACCTGTACAAACTAGTACAGGGAACGAGACTGATGGAATGGGTGGGAAGATGGGAGAATAAACGCAATAAGCCCAAGAGGCTGCAGTGTTTTCTGAAGACTTGGACTAAATGGACAAGTCAGACAGCTCCCAAGGTACAAAAAAACATATGTCGCACTAAGAAACGACCAATTTTTTTTAATAATATGCGGCTGGGTATAAGATTTTTTTTAGATATAGTGTAGGGACACAAATTAGCAGTTTCTCCAGCCGTATCGGTACTTGACATTTTAAAAATTTCAAATATTGAAATACCGTTTATGTACACCACAAGCGTTAAAACAACGTAACTGACCCCTCCGACACTGTTGTATGAATTCCGTCAGCCGATTGCAGTTAAATCTGATTGGTCAGCGTAAGGAGGTTTGTTTACGTTTACCAATAGATTCAAATATGCTTGGTGATCATGCTTTGATCACATCACGCATCTATATTTGTTTGGGTTGCTTTGTTTGTTGGATGGATATAGTTTAGTAGAGTATAAAATATAACTTTTGACAAGCATTTCGATAATAATCTTGGTTTAAGTGTTTTCTCACTACTCCATTCCAAAGATTTTGTTGATTGATACTGAATAAAAACTAGCATCTGGAAGAGGAATCAAATAGAATAAAAACGACGGGAAGGGCAATTCAGATCAAAGAAAAAACATCTGAAAATAGTATACCCAAAAATTCGGCTCAGTTGATTTGTCTGAAATTTAAGTTGATTATAAAGCTTGCAAATCGATTTTCTTGTTGATTAATGTCTTATTGCTATTAGAAGATCTGGGAAAAAATCAAAAACTGAAGCCAAATGCCCGATGAGTCCTAGAAAATTGACATCTTTGGTGGCAGTGGTAAATGCTAATGTTCGTTTAAGATATCAAGTCCAGAAATGTCGCCCGTCAGAAATAGACTGAACCATTAAAAATACATGCTCTAATACAATATCTATTTTTAATTTTCCGAGATATCTGTGAAATGGAAAATGATGTTCATCTATCCGATGTGTTTATACTTCGTGTAGCATGAACAGTTGATTACTGCTACCAAAACTTCAAACAGAAATATTAAGTTGACTTCTTATAATGAATGGGTTTTTATTTTTTTAAGTGGCCGCTTTTTATTTCGACATTTTTTATTCGCTGGACGTTTAAATCGCTTTACATGATTATAACACATACTTTCAGAAGGCACATTTTTTAATGAGACACTTTAATTTAGGAGGCATTTATTTATTTTTTGTACATAAAGATAAAAACAGCCTCTTATAGCCTGATAGTACACCCAATTTTGTAACTATTCCTGGGGCATCGATTACGTATGATGCACCTAAAACAAGATATGGTGGAATTATTGTTGAGCCATTCGATTGTTCGATTCATTCAATACTGTTAACTTTACAGTAAGGAAGAGGTCAAAAATGATGTAAAATATAGGATAAAGAAAATAGCTTTTGTCTAATTTCTACTGAGTTTTTTATTTGTTACGACCGATTTCAGTTTATTAAACCATTCTCAGTTCACTTGAGAATCAACTGATTACTTTCCAAAAATTTCCAAAGAAAATGGATATTTAATATGTAGAGACAATGTAATTAAATGAATTCGTTATCGAACAATTACCAAAATTGTTCCCACGTACACGTTTCAAGAATTGAGAAGAGAAAATTTGAAAAAAATTGCTAGAAAATAAATTGATAGATGAAAAACCAAATTATTTTCAAATAAACAGTTGCATTGGTTGCAGATTGAATCAATAAACGACACTAAAGGTTATATTATCATATTTGCGATATTTGCTAGAAGTGAAAAAAACGCCAGAAATGCCTGTTTTACTTATTAACAAAAGCAAATAACAATATTTAACATTTTTTGGGGTCCTAAATGAAGACGCAAATCACGTTGAGGTTTTTTCCAACGAAAATTAATTTTTATAGTATTTAGAACACACTCTAATTTGAATTAATATTCAATAACTGAACAATAACGGAGGTTTATTTTCGGCGTTGAATTAAAATTAATTAAATAATAGGGGAGTTTCGGGAGATGGGTCTCTTTTTGTGAATTTCCTCCCCTTCAAGGATCTTTTTTTTAAATTACTCAATTCTTTAGAGTTTTTGAAACTTTTGTAAATTTTTATGTACTAAAATACGGTTTTGCACATTTCTCTAGATATCATTCTGGATCAAAGAACTATCGCACGTATTTTTTCGATCACTATCTCTATTTCTCAACATTTTCAACTTGTGAACAAGACTATATAGACAAAGTGTCGCCCTAACTAGAGACTTTTGATCATCCCCCCTCCCTGGATCCGCCTTCCGCCTTATTTTTTCGTGAACTTTTCTGCTAATCTCGAGTGTGATAGCCATATATCGATCTCGTAACTATTTTTGTTCTTTTATCTGGCGATGAATTATATTCCCGGAGGCAATGGCCCGATTCCTAGAGGGCGGAAATGGATACATTGACCCCATTCAAAATTCCAAGACTGAAATAAATCCT